GGGAAGAGACTTGGGGTGGTGGGGAGATCAAGGCCTCTCTGGAGAGGGAAGGAGTGGGGCTGGGGCTGCCCAGCCAGGGTGGGGCAGGGCACAGGATAGAGCTGGTGGCTTGTCCGGCAGATGCGGGGAGGGGCTCCCACCAACCCCCCCTCATCTTTCTACAATTTACAAATTAACATATTTCTACTGCATGCACTCCCTGGGGGAAGCATGGAGGGCATGTGCCCCTCTCCCCCACCCCCAGATCTATGTACGGGTTGAAGGTGGGATGCCACTGCATACTCGAGGCCAGGGTTGCACTAGGGCAGGGCACTAGGAGCTATGGGGGGACCTACAGCAAATTTTGGGGTGCCTCTAGCCCCCCATAGTCCTTCCTCCCAGCACTGCCACCACCCGCCCTAAACACAGCTGCTGGGAAAAGGCTGGTGCAGCCCTGGCCCTGAGTATGCAGTGGGCAGCTTGCCCTCACCCCATGCACAGATCAGGGGGGCACATGCCCCCCATGGCTCCCCTGTGGGGGCGTGCAATGGGAGCTGCTTCCCCCCTCCCCACTCACATGACAAACCACCAGCTCTGTCCCGTGCCCTACCCCACCCTGGCTGGGCAGCACCGGCTCCTGCCCCACTCCCTCCCTCACCACAGGGGCCTCGATCTGCTCCCCACCTCCAACACCCTTTCCCTCCTCCATACCCTTTCCCCTCAACAGACTTACCAGCCAGATGCAGCTCTCCAAGCTGCCAGGCTGCATATTGGCAATTGGATCAGTATCGGCCAATATGGCTGGTCAATAATCGGGTGTTGGCCCAAAAAATCTTTATTAGTGCACCCTTTATTATATGCATAAGACCACTTCTAATAAATAACATTCTTATACATTGCTTGACATGTTATGGGTGCTAGGAATTGATTAAAAAGAGCTAAAACTTTTTAATTTTGTTTTGCTTTGTATTGTTCTTAAAGTCAGCCCTATGCACAATATTCTGCTGTATCATCCTTTTAGATGGAAAAGGGATAATGCAGCTATGAACAGACTGCAGGAATCACTATGCAGACATGAAACTCCTTCACCCAACCTGACAAACCTAAAAGAATAGCAACTTCATGGATTGTTGGAAAAGAGACAGCAAATCAGATGTAAGAGTAAAAAGACTGGAAAGGAAACACCTGCACACAGAGCCAGGCTGGATTTTCTACAGCATCATATACATTTACAGGTCTAAATTTCAGTAAAATATTTTAGAAAATAGGACTAAAAGGTTATTTTTAAAGTACTTACTGGATCTGAAAACCATCTGTTGGGGATACTTGGTCTTTGCTGTTCTATACAGACTATTTTCCTCATATCTTCAAAACTAGGATCACTTGGAACAAGATCATAAAATGGTGGTTTATATTCTTCTACAATTCCTAAAGACAAAATAACAACTTAAATGGCAGCCTGTTTTCTTATTTGTCCTAACTACCATAACATCCAACAGTAAGTGTCTGAAAATATTTGGACTATTAAACTAGGTGTATATAGTTTTTACTAACATGAACAACTAACTTAAGTTATATTAAAGTGTGAACTACAGCACTCAAATTCAAAAGGGTAGTTGAAAAAAACTTTAGCACGAATTATCATTTTGCTGAAAACGTTCCCAAACTATTTAAAAGAATTAGGACTGGTTTGCAAACCTATTAAAAACAATGTATTTCAATTAGTGTTAATCATGTTTACTTTATATTAATACCATACCAAGTATGTGAAGTGCTGTAAGTATCAGTGTCCTTTCTAGAATCACACATTAACCTCTTTAACAAACAGAACCACACATTCATAGTAAGTTCAAAATGAGGATTAGCTGCGTCTTTGATGGTGTTGTGTGGAGTACCTTCCATCTGCCTGAGGTGACACAGATCTTCACCCTCATTAACTTGTGATCTCATAACATTTTTGTTAAAGCTACTGAAATCAATCACGTGACAGAGCAACATTAAGAAAAAATATTTATCTTTTCACTCTCTCAATAACGTTTGGAAATCAGGATGAGCACAAGCACCAAATAACACATCTAGTTTTCTCCAGACCACTGAGATTTCATGACCAGTTTGAGAACTTTTACTTTAAACAAAGTTTAAAATGTTTTACAACTGAATTAGTAAATATAGCTGAAGTAGTACAGCAACACCCTATGCATTTTTTAGTTACATGGAGCCTGAGAAACACAGCTAACAAATGGAACTGGAAAAATCTGACAATCGAGAAAAAAACAAAGCTGAAAGCAGAGCAAAAGTGTAGGGCTTGTATACTATTTCAGGACTCCCTCCCTCTCTCTCACAATGTCTGAATTGTTGTGAAGGGGCATGGTGTGGTTTATGTATTCTTTTGATACACATCCCTATCTTCCCAAAGCTGACATGCCTACTGAAAACAACATCTTTCTACAATTTACAAATTAACATATTACCCTTATAAAACATAGGCTAATTAAACACTGATGGTACAAAAATGGTGTACAAATACAGAACATGGGAGTTAAACTAGGTCAGTTCCTCTAGGGTTACCTTATATGTTCCGTCATACAATGATGGGTGTATACAGAGGGAAACAAAAGAGATTTTTGATTGTTTGATTTCCTTTCTGGTTGAATTATTCTGTAACTATTTGATTCTTTTTGCTGCTAGTGAGCAGAGTATGTTATTCATGTCAGTTTTAATACTGCTGGGTAATCATTATGAGATCAATTGAAGTCACCTAGAATTCTTATTTGCAGGCTCCTTTAAAACCTGTAGAAGTACTATTAGTTCTATAAAATAAGAAATTACCGTTACTGAATGTTCGTCTTGCTATTTCCCATAACACAAATCCAAAGGCCCAAATGTCAACACGTTTATATGCATCAAAACAGTCAGCCTGAATAGATTCATCAAGAACTTCTGGAGCCATATACCGTTTTGTGCCAACTTTTGGATTATTTCCAACATCCAGCTGGTTGTTTTTCTGGGAATGCATCACTGCAAGTCCTACAAGTTACACACAAAATACCTAAATAGTGATTCAAGTACATTTGAAATTAACACTACCTCACAAAATTTGACAAACATCCTCTATTTAATTCCCAATAAATATTTTTTTTGTAAAAAAAACATAATATTTAGCCAGACAGGAGATAAACTTTGACAGGGAGGAGGTTTATTTGTAGAAAACAAAGTATAAGTGCTTAAATAAGAAATGGCAGGTAGAGTTAAGTGAATTCCTGGCAAAGATTTAATAGAATTCAATACCACATTTGAGGTATGGATGGAATTTCCTGAGAATCAGGTAAAAGATCAGACATGTAAATTTTGGTTGCAGAGAGTAAATCCTAAGTACTTTATAAAGAAATGTGAACAGAAACTGTAGTAACTACAGGTACTGTTGATAAAATTCAAACTTTGTAATGGAGTTGTTAATAAAGACTATTATGGCTCATCATTACTAATCCTTCTCCAGAGCAGCTCCTACAGCAGGCAGATAGCAACTTTTTCTCAGCCCCTCTGGAGATAAGGTGCTAGAATGATAAGCAGAAAAAAAAGCTACACGTTCCTCATGCTATACACATGCTAAAAGACAAAAGCAAGGCAGCTCACTTTTAAAGAAAACTCACTGCTAACAGCTATATCATAAGGGACACTTAGTATATACCAAATCTGTGGAATGTTGTGCAGTATTAAAGTTAGAACATGTTCTGAGCAGGCACATGATGATGTTTACCACAAACTCTTAACAGGCACAGCTTGTGCTAAAGGGCTGGCAAGCAGGCATCCCATGGTTTGCTGAAGTGATTTTATCCTGGTTTTCCAAAAACAGCAACAACAAAAAACGAGCAGAGGAAAGGACGGACTGATCTCGCCGAGGACATAAATTCCAATCCCTCCTTGACTGACTGTTTCAGCTGGAATCAAATTTCCAGGAGCTCTCTTTTTGAAGATGGGAACCATGTTGGCCCTCTTCCAGTCCTCCGGCACCTCTCCAGAGCACCACGAGTGTTCATAAAGCCGTGCCAGGGGACTTGCAATGACCCCAACGAGTTCCTTTAGGACTCTAGGGTGAAGATCATCCAGGCCGGCTGACTTAAAAACGTCCAGCCCCTCCAGAAGCTCCCTAACTAAATCCTCACTCACTCTAGGCCCAGGTGAGCCTCCCCCGGGGCCCAAAGGGGGCCCAGCAGGGAGGTGGCAGTTCTGGTCCTTACTGAGGAAGACAGAGGCAAAGAAGTTATTAAATATGTTGGCTTTGTCGTCTGGCGTGACAACCAGATTCCCCGTCTTGTCCTGCAAGGGCCCCACATTTCCTGGGGCCTTCTTTCTTCTCCCTATGTACTTAAAAAAGGACTTCTTGTTGTCCTTAATCCGGGAAGCCAGCCCCTGTTCCATCTCTGCCTTGGCCTTCCTAACCATCCCCCTACATCCCCGAGCAACTGCTGAATAGTCCTCCTTAGTGATGACCCCTCCTTTCCATTGGGAGTAAGCCTCCTTTTTGGCAAGGAGACATTCCCGGATGTTTTTAGTGAGCCATGGAGGCTTATATGCTCTCCTGCCCCCTTTGACCCTCCTGGGGATTACCTTCCTCTGGGCTTGGAGGATCGTCTCCTTAAGGAGCGACCACTCCCGTTGGACACCCGGCTCCCCTCCCCTCTGAGTCTTCAGCGCTTCTCCAACTATCCTCCTTAGCTCGTTGAAGTTCGCCCTGGTGTGTCCCTGGTAATTTAGAAGTCAGTGAATACCAACAGTTTCCATTTCGTTGCCAACCAGTTCAGTGTGGGGCAGACAACCGTAACAATAGCCATACAATGCTATGCTTGAGGTGCTGGGGCTTCGATTCCTCTGGCTCGGGGGCCAGAAGATCATTGCTGGGTTCAAACAGATGGGTTTCCCAAACTGTGCTGGGGCCATCAATGGGACCCATATGCCCATTTTGTGCCCTCCTCACTGTGCCACAGATGACATAAATTGTAAGGGGTTCTTTTCAGCTAAGTTCTGGATAGTCGTGGGCCACCAGAGGTTCTTCATTAACATCAGTGTTGGCTGGTTGGGTCAATGAAGCCTGTGTATTCAGGAACTCTGATTTCCTGGAGACAATGGGGTGGGAGGAATTATCTCCAGGCACTACCACCATGGATTTGGGTGGTCAGACCATTCCCTCCCCCTCCTACCCTCCTGGCACTGGGGAGCCAGCCTACCTGCTGCTCCCCTGGCTTGTGATGCCACATACCATCTGGTTAGACCCTAAGAAGCAGAACTTAAAGTTCTGGCTGAGCAGTGGAGCGAGTCTAAAAGTACACTGGAAGTCACCACCTACATCTTTCACAATATAAGTGAGGTGAGAGGAGAGGCCTTTCTGGAAAACAGCTCAGCTGCAGACAGATCCACAGCAGGAGAAGCTCCTGGCACTTTGGAAGGTGCCTTGACCAAAGTGGCACTCCTGGACAAGTGTTCCAGACAGATCCACTGCTAGGCCATTCTAATCTGGGAAGCCTTGGCTGACGGCTTCTGGGACAATGTTCTGCCAGGCAGATGGGGGTGCAGGAGACCTCTCAGCCATTGTGAACCCTTCAATATTCCCCTTGGGCTATACACGTGCTTTCCCAAAACATCTCAGTAAGTGTCTTTCATGACAACTGTTGGGCTTAAAGCCTCCTGTTGTGGGGATTTGGGAAAAAGGACCTGGAAGAGGAGAAATGTTTTTTCTACATACCTTGAGGTACCAGGCGTGGCTCATGATTGCTGTGATTGTGGGGCACACAGAGCATCCCATACGAGTGTGGAGGGGCCCTCCACATGCTCCACAAAAATCCCGGAAGTGGACTAGAAGTACTTCCAGTCCACTTCTGGGTCTGCTGGGAAGCATGCTGGGGGGCCCTCCCGTGCCTCTCTTGCTCAGCAATTGGCTGCCAGGGGACCCCAGGTACTCCCCCAGCCCCGGGTGGCACCAGTCACCAAGCCAGGGGAGCGCAGGCCCCACCCCATCCTTGCATACTGCTCGGAGGATCCGGAAGTGGACCAGAAATGCTTCTGGTCCACTTTCAGGTCTACTGCCAAGCGCGCTGGGGAGCCCCCAACACTTCTGTGGGACGCTCCATGTACCCCAGCATCACAGCATTCATAAGCCCCTGCTACCTAGACGTATGTAGAAAAAACATTTAAAGCTGCCTCTATGTCCGAATCGCTGAATCTTTCCGAATCAATCTGGAAGGTTCCAATTTGATTCAGAGAGATTAAAGGGTCTTCTGATTTGATCTGGATTCAGAGATTTGGCCACTGAATCAGGCCAAATCTCCACCAAACTGAATCAGGGACCGAAGCTTTGCAAAGCGCTATTGTCCATGAGGGTCCTGATGCTGCAGGTTCTGAAATAAGATTGTGTGTTTTCAGTGATTTTGACCATAATAAAGGTGATCCCACCAGACCAGTCAGGGAAAAGGTAGCTAAACTATGTTTAGGGCATCCTTTCTAGTCCCCTCCCCATGGGGGGTTAGTGGAGCAGATCCTGAAGAGGGCTGCAAATCACATTCCTGGCTCCAAGTGCTAGAAGATCTTGTAACTGCTGCCTTTTTGCCAGTTTATGACTAGGAGCTTCCAGATTACAATCCTGCTCTCATCATCACTAGCTGGTAAACTGGTAGCCAAAGGATCTGAAGAATGTGCTGGAAAGGCTATTTCCACGGAAGATGCTTGTGCGTGATTTCTTTTATTGTGGAGCAGCTGCTGCACATCAGCTTCCACATGGGTCTTGACAGAACGGGACTTTAATCCAATGGCAAGGAGGCCAAGACAACTGGAGATCTCATTCCGCTGCAGCCTTCATCTGTCTTTGTAGCCATTGAGATCCTAACATCTTCTTCTATCTGCTCCGCCATTGAGGATTTGTACACCCATGGCTGGGTGCTGGGCAGGCTTATTATAACAGTGACCTGTACTCACCATGTCACAGCACCATCAAAGAATATATGTGGCTTTTCAGGAGGGAAAGTAATGCCATCTGCTGTTACCACCATATCCTGGTGGCGCTGCCGCTTAGTCCACAACTGCTTATCTGTCAGAATTACCCCTACATATTTCACAGCTAACCTTCCCTGAAGGTCATTCCACTATCTGCTACCTTGCAGATGCACTGGGTAGCAGTACAGTTGTGCTGCCAGATCGAGAACAATACAAAATGCAATACAAAAAAACCTGGCTTCTTTATATCAAGACAGTTCACAACCTACTTGGTTCACAGAGGGCTGTTGAATTAAAGATAAGCCAGTCAGCTGACTGCTGTAGATTTTTATATCAAAGGGTGCTGTTACTTTGGCCAGCTACAGTTCATCAGCAATCCTGTGCAGATGACTGGAGAAGCAGTGCCTTTTGAAATAAAAGCCACAACAACCAGCTAGAACACCTCAACAATCCTGTGCTGCTCTTTTCTGCAGAACTGAAGGCCCTCAAATAATCTGCAAAGCCTCATCTTCACAAAGGGGTAAGGAACATAACCCAACAAAGAATCTGACTTCTACTGTACCACAGAAAATGTCTGAGCACAGATCCCTTTGCATTTTTCTTTTAATGCAGCAAAACTGCAGAATTTGTCCATTCATAAAATAGTTTGATCACTATGTAAAAGATAGGCAAAAAACTTCCCTAATTTAATATGGGAGATTTCAAGAAAAATTTATGTGATGAATGAACTCCAGACTGCGACTGGATTTTATAAGCCTTGGTGGTTGCATCTGCATTGCTGCTTGTGGCAAAAGTTTCCCACCATTGCTAAAAATGATACAAAGGCACTTGTGGTTAACCATGGTGGGAAACACAGGGTGTAGACTGAACAGAACACGTAAAGAACTTCAAATGCTTCTGAAATGCTTCAAGGACTGAACAAACAGATGTATGTACCCTTCGATGCATTTGGAAAATGGCAGAAGTGCTCCATAAATAACCCGAAAGGAAAAAAGTACTATTCAGAAATGCTTCAAAATGAAGTGCTTTCTGTTACACATGTA